ACCTAAAATACATGCTTGTAGTTAGTTCTCAACCCTTACAGCGAACTTGCAGTCTGTGGGCTTCCTTCTCTTTTCCATGTGATATATATAAAGTGTTATTGAATTTTCAATTGGGGGAGGAAATAATTTTATTGGGGTGAGAGGCATGAACCGTTTTTCCTGTATTCCAGAATCTCATTGTGTTACTGTTTTATGGGTGCAAGTGAATAAACTAACTAAGAATTAGTGATATTTCCCAACCAGCCAAAGAATTCAGCAAGTGATTCTTGAGCTTACAAAAGGGATACGTGATCTACAAAGTTTAAGTCCATCACGTGGGACGTGTCATGTGTCGACCTGACGCATCCGAAGTCGCCTATCGCTGTAACTCCTGGCCTTGCCTTGGCCAATCCTGCTTCAGGCCAGTTTTCCCGTCTGTGCTGGCAATGCCAGCTTGCTCAGGCCACATAACCTAAGTTCCTGTCTTTACCTCACACACTCAAGTCGTGATAGCCTGTTGTCTCCCTTCAAAATAGACCCAGAATGAGAGTACTTCCCACTGCCACCGCTCAAGGGAACGACCCCTTCAGACTTCACATGCGCTGCAGAAAGAGGGCCGTATCCAGTCCTCTTGCTGCCACCCACCTCCCGGCAGCTTATTGGCATTGCAGGCAGTGAATATTTTTAAAGTCTGTCACAGTGTTGTGTTCTGTTTATACCCTATGTAACTCAGAGTGGAATGTCAAGCCCTTACGGCGGTGTATGAGGCTCCATGTCATTGCCACTCTGCTCCCCAGCCTCCCTGCTTCTCTCACTACCCTCCCCACTTGCTCTCCCTCCCCAACCCCCCCTCCCCGGTTGCTCATCAAGTAAGTTGCCTGCATTCCTTCTCAGAGTCTTTGGAGCTGCTCCTGCTACCTAAGTCAGTGTTTCCCGTGACATCCTGACATGCGTCCCTCGGCTCCTTCAGGTCTTTGTTCAAAGGATGCCTCAGAATATCCCACAGTAATAATTATACTTGAGAAGTGCAACCCTCCCCATTCCACATATGCACCTCGTGTGTAGTCGGTGATAGATACTCTTAACTTAAGCACTTTGCCCAGTTAACTTATTTAATTTTTACCCACAGTCTTGAGAGGTCGGAACTTGCTATCCATTTACAAATGAGGGGATGGAGTGTTTATGAATGCTGGAGAGATGGCAGAACCATCAAGAGCTCTTGCTGCTCTTGCTGAGTACCCGGGTTCAGTTCTCAGAGCCCACATGTTGGCTCATAACCGTCTATAACTAGTCCTAGCAGACCCAACACCCTCTTCTGGCCTCCACTGGTGCCGGGCATGCACATAGCATAAATACATACATGCACACAAAACGTCCATACACACAAAAATAAAAACATTTTTTAAAGTTTTTTTTCTTTTCTTATTCATTCCATTAAAACAAGTATTTTTGTCAACTTCTTTTACTACTATCTCAGTGTTCAGAACCTTACAGAGTGGCTAGTCTAATAAATATATATTAAATGGATGGATAAACCACTGCATCCCAGAAAGAACCCTGAGGGCCAATATGAGTTTAATACATGCTCACCATCCAATATCATTTCATGAAGAGAGGTTGTGTTTATGATTAAAAAAATGCAGAAGGATACAGCTTCAGCTGAGGGACCACTCCAACACTGTGTAAATAATCTCCCAGTTTCCCGTCTCTCAGATGGAGACAACATCTATCTAAGCTTCCCACCAAGGCCCTGTCACAGCCTAGGAAACGCAGGCAGGAAAACTGCTTTCACAGAAGACTGGAATGAGTGATGCTATGCCTAGCGGATGCTCGCTGTCTACCAGACCCTCCTCTGAGCATGGGGTGTCAACCCATTTGGTTCTTAGGAACAGCCGTATGACGTGTTCCTCTCTATCCTTATCTCTGTTTTCCCAATCATGAAAAGATTTGCCCCTTAGTAAGTAATTTATCAATGTCACGCAGCGAAGAGAGGAGCTAGAATACCAGACTCACCACAGCAGAGTTTCTGCCCCGATCACCAGTTCCCTGAGTCTCTCTCTCTCTACGAGAACCACAGTGTCTTTCTGGTAGACCTTCGACTGACCTGTAACATTTATAATCCAGTCAAAACATAGGGCTGCAGGTGAAAATAATTAGATATGTAAAATGAAGTGAATGCCAGGAGGAACCAAGAGATGGGGTTAGTGAGATTAGCCCAGAAGGACTTCATGACAGGGCATTTTGACCATACTTTGAAAGAAAAGGGAAACATGACATTGAGGAGACGGGTCTTGTTCCAGGTGGAGAAAAGGTTGTGCAGATGGACCATTAAGATAAATGTTAGGGACAATGATGTGTCGATGCAATGCCAAAACATCTGGTCAATTCCACTCTTTTGAAAAGCCAACCTCCATCAATGTAGTGAATTCCTTCAGTCAATCCAGATGTTTGGCGTCTCGTAGACAAAACATTCAGATGATTAACTGAAGATTTGACAGAGTTGACTGGATTAGCCAGATGTTGTAGCATTGTACAGACACTGTCAGGACATTACTTGGCCAGAGTGAGGTCCAGCTGTAGGGGAGATAGATGGTCTGGGCAGTGAGGGGGGCTTTGGAGCAGAAGACCTGGGCCTGGACTGGATGCAACTGGGGAGCTGCTGCAAGAGGTGTGCGGTGGAAACGATGCTTCAGGAAGAGAGTTCTGTGCGGAGAGAATAAAAATAACAGCGAGAGGAAAAGCTGTAGACAGGAAAGGGGATCGGAGGAGAGTGCAGGTGTGTGTGAGGCAATTAGAGCCTGAACCAGAATGCTGGGAAGGCAGCAGGAAGAAGTGGATCTGAAAAGCATTACAGAAAAAGAACAGGAAGTCGTGATGGGCTAGACAAGGGAGTAAAATCACATCACCCCAAGACTGGAGACCACAAAGCCTGGGAAAGCAGCTGCGGGCAGTCTCGCCACAGGAGCAAACCAAGAGGGAATCCCCGAAAGACCCCTCCCCCAAAGCCTCCATTCAGAGGCTACAGCCAGGCCTTCAGTCTGCAGGTATGGAGAACAAAGCTACTTCAACTTTAAGGTTCCTCATCAGTTGAGTGATTCCTAAATTGTTTTCCTTTTTAAGTTCAATTTCATGACGGGATCCAGAATGCTAGATTCACACTATTGGGGAGGACATACCCCGTGAAAAGTGCAACCAGCATTTAATGGGATTTCCTTTTGTGTAGTATGTAACGCAAGCTAAGACATATAAAGCCTAATTAGATGCAGGGAGATTGTGAGAAACTGCACAGTTTAGCATTTAAAAAGCCTGTTTGGCTGGGCAACGTGGCATATGCAAGCGGATCTCTGAGTTAGAGGCCAGCCTGGTCCTGGTTCCAGGACAGCCAGGACTGTCGAAAAAAGAAAAAGAAAGGAAGGGAGGAAGAAAAGAAAGAAGGAAAGAAGGAAGAAAGATATAGGCTGGCATTAAAGGTTGAATACATGTATTTACTTGTGTTATTTAAAAGTCTGATTTATAAAACTTTGAAGATCATGAGTCTTGGCTTAGACATTTCACAAAAAAAATATCTAATTTTCAGATCTTATTTGATAAAAATCAAGCTTATCTTTAGACACAGTCATGGATTCCAATTTATTAGCATTAACACCGTGATGGTTCCGTGAAAGGGTGCTATAGTTTAAATCTTAAATGTCCCCCAAAGGCCCATCTGTTTACAGCTTGGTTCCTAGCCTAGAATGTAATGAAGGTAATGGAAGTTCAGGGCATGGACCCAATGGAAGGAAGTTACATCATGGAGGGTATGCCCTGGAAGGGGATATTATCTCCTTCCCTTCCTGCCCTGTTTGAGGTTAGCAACCGCTATACTCCCATAATGACGTGCTATGCTACCCTACCCCACAACAATGTCGCCAAGTGACCACGGGTCAAAACTTCTGAAGTCATGCGCCAACATAAACTTTCCCCCTCTCAGATTGATTCCCCTCAGGTATTTGTCATAGTGGGGGAAAGCTAACACACAGGGTGTGCTCTCGCTTGCTACAAAGCATCCTGAGCATTTCTGGAATTCGTGGTTTTGTGCATGTGCAGTTTCCAGCATTTTCAGCTCCAAGCCTATCGGCCCACACAGCCATTTGGGCGCCCTCTGTAAACACGCTGAGATTTTCTCCAAATGCTTGCCTGTTCAACGGAGAAAAAAAAAAAAAAAAAAAAACAAAGCCAAACAAGGTTTTTGCGTCGTTTGGAAATAGAGCTCGAGCTGCCTCACATGCGCAATGCCCTAGGTTCAAAGCTGGGTCCCCAAAAATAAAGATTAAAAAAATAGCAAGGGGGAAAGCCTTTCAGAGAGGCTACGCTACCTCTATTCAAGGTTCGTGCACTGCCCCCCCCCCACACCCACCCCACAAACACCCTGGAAAAGCACAGAACTTGTAAGGGCTGAAGTGAGTTCTGTGATACAGAATCATCCTGGCGGGGGGGGGGGGGGGGGGGGGGGGGGGGGGGGGGGGGGGGGGGGGAGGGGGAGGATGAAGGGTCGGGAATCCAGCATCCATTTCCCTGACTTCAGAATGACAGGTCCGCTGGTCTGGGTAGAAGGAGTCCAGGGGCCTATTGGCTTCGTTTGTGTGTTTGGTTGGTTGGGTTGTTTGGCTTTGTTATTTTTTTTTTGTTTGTTTCATTAAGCTCCCCTCAACTAATTCTTATGCTTGGTTTTGTTTCTCACTTTGCTGAAGACGGGTCCTGGGCAAATGCCACCATAAGGCAGAATCTAAAGATTGAGAGACACCTCACATAGATATGAAACTCTCAAACTGTATTAAACTTGATTTAATGTCTTTTCCCCCCTAGGAATCACATTGCCATAAAGATCTCTTTATGAAATGTGCTCCTAGGCTAATTCACTGTGTCCTTGGATGATAGCTTGGATGATAGAATTTTTCACAGGAACTGCATGGAGTCTGGAGTCAGCCTGAGAAACCACGAAGGTGAGTATAGGACCCTTGTCTGTTCTCAGTCCCCAGCACTGCTACACCCCCTCACCAACACTGCCAGTGCATGATGGGAATGTAATTAATGATCTTGATAAGGCTTTCCCGGTGTCCCAAGGCTGAGCGAGTCACTTATTTATCAATAGAACACCGGCTGGCCTCTCCGAAACAATGAGTGATTCAGGTGATTCACGCAGGCTTCCCACAGCCACGCTATTAGCAGAACTTGATTTACCAGATTGCAAGCTACTTTTTCAAAAAGCTAATCAATGGAATGTCCTCACCCTGACCCCACGATTAGAGTGTTTGTTCTCCTAGGTGCCCTTCTTTCGGCAGCGCAAGCTACAAGAAAAAGGACTGAATTGTTTTTCCCTTGATAACGTTGGTTCCATTTGTCCTGGTAGCAACTTAGCTTCCTGGACTTCTTTTTCTCAAGGATAGAGGAGCAGTAGACATTGGGAGAATGCCTATTTAAAAGCTGGCCTGGGTCTGAAATAGCCTGGGATAAAACCGGACTTGCTGAACATAGCGGACAATGAGGACTACTGAGAACTCAAAAACAATGGCAATGGGTTTTTGATCCTACTGCGCGTACTGGCTTTGTGGGAGCCTAGGCAGTTTGGATGCTCACCTTACTAGACCTGGATGGAGGTGGGTGGTCCTAGGACTTCCCACAGGGCAGGGAACCCTGATTGCTTTTTGGGCTGATGAAGGAGGGGGACTTGATTGGGGAAGGGGGACTTGATCGAGGGAGGGGGAGGGAAATGGGAGGCGGTGGCCGGGAGGAGGCAGAAATCTTTAATAAATAAATAAATTTTAAAGAAAAGAAAAAAATTAAAAAAAAGCCAGCGAAGTAGCAAAATGCAAAGTCAAATCTGCATTTAAGTTGCTTCATCTTTTTAAATCTCCAAGACATCTCATACACTAGCTGCTTACTTTTGACCTGATAGTGATTATTTTCCACTTCTCTGTTCTCCAGTCTCTTTCGGGTCCCGTGTAGCAACCACAGAAAAGAGTGCCTGTCATGCCTTGGCGGGGAGGGGGGGGGTTGAGAGAGACTGGAGAGAAAAACAGGCAAGAGAGGCCTGTGAAAGAATACCCTTGGGAATTTTCACAGCATAAACGTCTCTATCCTGAAACATATCAAAGCAAATTGATTTCCATTGATCTTCTTATCGTCTATGTAAATGCATTCGTGGTCACCACCTTGACCTGAGGACAGTACTGATAAGGGTAAGCCCTCCACGGCCTCCAGATGGTTCTTTTGGTACTTAATTGATTCTACTACCCTAGGGTGATTGATCACATATGAGTATTGTATGCTTTTTTTTTTTCCTTTTTTCTTTTTTTCTTTTTTTTTTTTCTTGAGGGAACTTGTCAGCCCATACTGTGACTTTGTATAAACTGGAAAAGGGCACCATTCCCAAGACATCAGAAAGTCTAAGAATGTACCACATTGTTTGGGAATGTGTTCATGGACTCTGTAGTCTAACAGTGCCTGTCCCATTGTTTGCTTGGGATCTCTGTTACCCTCGAGTTCTCTGAGAAAGTAGAGTTTTGTCCCTGCCACAACATGGCCCTGGAGCCAGTGTTCAACAGATGGGCCCTGCGTGACCTGGCCTGTCTCTATCTTACCTGCAGAGGCTCAGTGTTCTATAAGAAAAAAAAATGTCCTGGGAATTTAGACTAGACTAGAACTCCAGAGCCTTCGGTGACCAGTGTCCCCACTGCAGCCACTTCCTAACGGGCTCTGGGGAAGAGAATTCTTTACCGAGCTTGCCAGCCAATGGCCACCCAAAAAAATGAGGAGCAAAGGCATTCTCCCCAGCCCTGTGGAATATGAGTAATGAATATGCCTCTTCTGCAGGCTGGTAAGAGTCTTAGGTCACCACAGCCTACTGGCTGGTGTATCACTGTCTCCTTGGAAACATTCTGATATGGTCCATCGCCTGCCTGTGGCAGCTGGAGGAGCCCACTCTGTATGCCCAGTGTGTGTATTAGGGGGGAGGGGGGTATGTCTCCTCTCCAGAGCAAATATCCTCTGTGCTAACAAGTGCTAGTTATGGCTTAGGAGGGTACCCTAACTCCTTGAATGCCCCAAATGGTCAATATCTCCCAGGCCTGTTTGTTAGTAACAAGAGTTTTCTGTTTCTCAACAATCCCATCAAGAACCACGTGAAGAGGAGAAAGCCCTTTCAAAACTCGGCATTAGCCAAAGTCTTCTGGCTTCTGGATGTCTGCCCTCTTTGCCTCTTAGTCTGTATTTTCCTTGCTCTTGGTAATTAAGGTCTTATCCCTACAAGAGAGAAAGAAATGTTTTGTTTTGTTCTCCTTCTGACTTTCCATACTGAAGATAAAGTACTGAGTCTACAAATGTTCAAACCGTAAGAGCACAGCAAGTTCTCACTCTTCTGAGCACACATAAGAAAGGCAAGGTCCGGCATTCCCATCACCTTTTAAAGTTGCTACAGCATCAAAGTGGCTCTGGTGATCACAGACCCAACATGCGTATAGTTAACGCTTAAGAAAACTGCTTTTCCAAGAAAGGACCCAGACGCTCCAGGATTTGTTGGAATGGTTCAACAACAAAAAAAGTAAAAACATAAAATTTCAAATCTTGGTTGATTCGCCTGCAGGACCTCCGTGAGATGGGCCCAACAGGAAACAATTCCATCTTCCAGAGTGGATACTCGTTTGCTTGTCCGGCCAGGAGTCTGGGAGAAGCCAGCAGGCAATGCAGTCATTTGGTAATGTCCTTCCCTCTGCCAAGGCGGATTAATGCTGGGAGATTTTACAACTGGTGAGTAATGGGTAGTGTTTACAGATCCTCCGAGGTCCCCAAGGTGTGATTATTTTCATACGTAGGTCCTGCCATCATTCCCCCAAAGGGTGCTTTGTCATTTCCTCTGCTCTTCCTTCGCTGAACCCTCAAGTCTGTGTTACAAGGACAACAAGGTCCGTAAGTCATGGCCAAACTCCTCAAAAACCAACTGGTAAACACGTCCCAGACACTGCTCAAGGGAGACGTTGTCCTGACAGTAAGCACTGGCTTCCTTTTGGATATTCTGGAGGGTTAGGAATAGTTATTTATTAAAATGTGATTTTAATAGCCACCCTCTCACTCCCCTACTTTGCTTTATTATGCCCCAACAGAACCCTCTCACGGTGGTGTTAGATGTGAGGCCGAAGAAGAGCTCAGTCCATGAGCAACTCCATATATGTAAGGTGTGGTTTTAGAACTGATTGCTCTTGGCACTTTTTTTTTAACACTGTTGCCATTCATTCCCCCCAGCTCCTGTCACTGCCCCCGCCCCAACTCTTCAATTTGTATTCTACTCCTCTCTGGATTTCATAGCTCTGTAAAAGTCTTCTGACATCAAAAAAGGCCACATTCTAGAGTTTGAGTTCTGTACACACAATAAAATTAGTTAAATAAATTCTACAGGGCAAAGTGCTTGTCTAACATGCTCAACGCCCCTGGTTCATTTGTTGGCCCAGCAAGAATATAAATGAATAAAAACCAAAAGGAAATAAAAATAAAATTAACAGTTCAGGTTCTGTCTGTGCCACCGACTGGCTTGGATCCCCAATGATCTACCTAAAGTCTGAGGTCCCTCCTCTGTAAGCTGGACATATTTGTGAGCCCAGAAGATCAAGGGTGTGTAAAGGCTAGCTCTGCCCACGTGAGACAGTGCTTGGTAAGTGCTGGTCACGGTACTAGTTAGTATTCAGTAACAGCTATCATTAGGGTTTCTTTGTTAGTTGGAAGTGTTAGAACACCTAGCTAAGGCCAGGTTCTGTATTCCTCGAAGAGGACTTTACAGCCCCTCGCTGCTGGCTGAGTGAGAGCTGTGCAGTTGTCTTCTGGGTCTTATTCTTGTCCCCCTTCATTCATGGACCTGAGCCCAAATCCTTTCGCGAGGCTTCAGCACCCCCTTCTTCCTGTCACTGAAGAGATCAGGAACGTAGGTCTGCTTTGAAGATCCCTTCAACTCCGAGTCGAATCTTAAGGTCACCCACAAGAGCAAAGCCAGAATTGTGGGAAGCTGGGCCAAGTGTTTCTCAGAACCTGAGAAGTTCTTATCAGCAGATCCATCCCAGGAGAGTCACTGTGTTGCCTAAGCCAGATGTTGTGCCTGATATTAGGTAACCAAGGCCATAAGCCAGAAGTGCTGCCTCGGCTGGTGAAGAATCACACAGAAGCTTTAGGGGGTAGGGGGGAAATGGGTGGCTGCTGCCCAAGCTGGGGGACCCCATTCTCAAAAGGTTCTTGGGCCATCCTGATGACCCCAGGCTGGGAAACCCTGCTGAGAGCAGCCCCCCAGTTTGTTCCTCCAGTGCTTTGGAGCTGGACTGTCCTCCCTGAACCACATACCTTTGCCAGTCACCCTGGAACTGGCGAATTTTTGATAACAGTCACCACGTGCTTCCAACAGATCACAGAGCATCAAGCTGCTGATTATGGCTTCTGAACCCCTTTGTCCTACACCTCACCCCGTTAGCCCAGGAGAGAACAAGGACATCATACTGGAGCCAAAGTAATACAATCAAGAGAGAACATGGGGTTGTAGAATCAGCAGCAGCCTGTCTGGAACAATGGATAAGAGTTCAAAAGATTTAAAGGCCGGAGACTCAACACTGATCAAAACGCAGATAAAAGAAGTGCTCTCTGCCAAGGCAATCTGACACGCCAGAGTACTTACTGTGCTGGTAACCCTAGTGGGGCCTTTGTTTTATAAGAGAAAGGAAAGAGGAAAGAAAATAGAAAGAAGATTGTGGGGAAAGCCTTGATGTGGTTGAAACAAAGGAGCAGGGCAGTGGCAGGGGGCCATATTGTTGAGAGATGTCTGCTCTGCCCTCATGGACCTAAACATCCCCAGGCCACAGGTCCTTTCCTACATCCTGATCACTCCAGGGCCGTGGAATGGTGTTCTACAGTTGACAGTAATAACCAGCTAACCAACAAGACGACACAGATGGGCACCAGGAGACTGAGGGGGACCCAAGCAAGTGAGAATTCCTTCAGGACTGACCCTGGAATCAGCTACCAGAGAAAAATTACTGAAGGCAAACCCAAGCCCCGCACTCGGATCTGCTGCTCCCTGGGCTCTCCAGACAGAACCCAGCGACTTCCTACTTTACACGCTGAGGTTGTTCTTCCTTGTCTGCTCAACTGAAAACTAGATCTAGCCTCACCCAGAATCCTTAGATTTAAAAAACAACCACACAAACGCTCCAAACATGAGCACACATCTCTTTCGGGACATTCAAACACCCTTCTGGAGCACACAGCCGTCAAGCAGATTCCATCTCTGAACTTTATGCAAGGTTAGTTCAACATAGCCTCATAATCCCTCCCAAGCCCATCCTCTCTTTCCTGTGGTCTTCATGGTCCCATCTTCCTCAGGATCCCTGGCCCCTCCTCTCAAGGACAGTCAGGAAAGTGAGTCTCCAGCGTAGCTTGGGACCCGCGCCTGCATGTCCAAAAAACATCCCCGCTAGCCCCCAAAGGTACGGATTGCTGTGTTCTAACGAAATGAAATCGTTAAAATGATTTTAATAAAAAAATCACGAATGACTTGTGCCTATGGTACAGATCTCATTAAACCTCCTAGCCGTAAAACCCTATACTTTAGAAGCGTAGACTCTCCCTCCAAGTGACTTAAGAGCGGTCCAGGATCTGATTTACCCATTTTGGCTCTGGTAGCGGAGTAGGCCTCAGCCAAACAACTGTCTCCCCACAGTGGTGATACCCATCTTTAAGAGCATAGCTAGTAGAAGCGACTGCAGCCCTATGAACTGAACCAGCTCGGCCTGGAGAAGGACCGCTTCCTGCTGCGCATGCGCATCTCGGGAGGTAGGGCAGGATCCAGAGGCTGATGGCCATCTATCACTTCTGGGATACCCTGGGACCTCACCGTGGCCTACTTTCCAGAGATTGGTTCTGACTCCTGATTAATCTGCACTTTCCGTCCTTCTGACGTAGCAGAGGCGACGTCATCTCTGCTAGAGACACCCCAGCCAGGTCTTTGATGCCTCCCCAAGACGATCACACCCAGGCCCACAAGGCCACAGCCTGGTCTACCCACAGTGCCCCTGTTTGCTTCTGCTGACTAGTTACATACAAAATTCTTTCCTGTCGTAATCGTAAAATTAGAACATGGGGCCTTTTAAAGATGAACTATCAGGAGTAGAGCCTGGCTGTGGGGGCAAAGCCCTGGATTTGGGCTGAGGTGTCTCAAAGAAAACAGTTTCAAAGGGGAGACCTTACAGAATCATTCAAAGCCCTTTTCTCCAGACTAACAATCTGTCAACTTCGATGTATTCCTTTCCAGTCTCTTTTCTTTCCTTCTACAACAAATTTTGAGTTTTTAATATTGCTCAGCTACAGACCTTTTATGAGCTTTGTTTTATTGTGTTTGCTTGCTTCTTAGCAAAAACGTGAATTTTTATAAAACGTTGCTGTAAAGCTTTTGGCGTCGTGTTAATTGATGTGCCATCAAGTACTTAAATGTTATTTCTGTGTAGGGGCATCCCCTATTCTGACGTTTCCGGTGTGTTGTGATTACTAAGCAGCGGATAGAAAAGCCCTTCAACATGACCCTGTCCCCGCTGACCTGTTTGAGGGCTCATGAAGCATGCACAGCCAACAGCCTGTCACCCTGCAGGTAGTGGAGTTACTGAAACTTGAAAGACCTCTGTTCTTTTCCACATTGCGGATGGAAGGGAAGCAGAACGGGCGGGTTCTTTAGGATAGCTCCCACGTCTATGATCTAGGCCCTGGGCCTGCGTTGGAGATGGAGAGTTTTACCACAGGGAAGGGACCAGGGGAGAGGGGCTAGACATGGTCCTCAGTGGACAACTCTCCGAGAACAGAAATGACTAGTGGTTTTTGGGACATTGATGACAAACACTCAATATTCCCTTGGTCACAAGCCTCAGTGCTATTTGCAGGAATGGTACTTGTCTCTTTTACTGAAAGAACTGAAGTACGGTCGTAAGAACTAGCCTAAGTGAGCAGAGAGGAACACTGAATTTAGCTGCTGCCCTTCTTCAAGCCCTCGTCCCATGTTGGGAAACAGTTGGATTAAGTTTCTGCTAGATTCCAGGTCATGAATCATCTGAAACGTCTCTCTGAGTCCCTGCCCGGCCTCCTGTCTCCTGAAAACTAACCTGATGGAAAGTGGGGTACAGAAGAGAGTGGTGGGAGAAGACTGGTGGCTGAAGGATCGAGTCAGCCCCCCTGCGGCCTTTAGTCAAGGTGTTCTTAGACACCCGGTCGGTAGCTACCCTGGTTAGCAAAAGGCATGCACTCCTGTTCCTTGTGTTGGTATCAAGCCATTGTGAATGCTGGCTGTCTGGGAGTAGCATCTGTGACCAAAGCTTCAGCAGGAAGACCCTGACTTGGCCCATGTTTGCCATGGGGTGACTTTCTCTTTATGAGAGACAATACGTCACAAAGTTTGTCTCCAGCTGAACGGGAGTCCTCCGTACTATCCTGTGAGGAAGGCTGGCTGGCCAACTGCATACACTCTCTGTCTAGATTTAAAACGGAGCTGGCAGGTTTCCTTGTCAATGCACCCATCAGTTCCTGAGCCTGTGAGACCTACCCATGGAATAGCGACATAAGGGTCCTAAGAAAGAAGACGGCCACGGTGGCTCTCTCCTCCCAGTCCCAGATGGGGGCACTAGCAGTCCTGTCTCGTTGGAACAGTGCCCTTCCTGGCAGTGTAGCCATCATCCCCTTAGTTCACTTGACCCTTGTCTGTGACCTCCTCCTGGGTGGAAAGTCACAGTGTCTGAGAGCGGCCTTTTGATGCCTGCTCCCTTTAGTGACGAGGATTCTCACCGACTGTTCCCGTTTCTGAACGATGGTATCCTTCTTGCCACTCACTCGAGATTGGAGGAAAGCCAACTCCATTCCCATCATGGCCAGTGAGGTCAGCTTCTCCAGGCCTGAGCTCCCCGCACCCTTCCCCCGGACACAGCCTTCTCTAGACACTTGCTGACCCTGCTGTGTTGCCCTGTTAAAGGTCACCGGGTTTTTGAATTCTTTCCGCTTCTCCTCCCTTCTTAGAAACTTAAAAATAACATTTATTTCCTCAGTGGTTTTGTATATTTCCATTTGGCAAACTTTATTTTGTTCCGCGTGTTTCTAAGGGAACAGAAACAAAAATGGCTTCTGTCCTACCCCCTACACTGGCCTGCTGTTGTCAGGACCGGAAATGCCCTCAACCCGAAGCGGGTACACCCAACCACAAGCCGAGCCTCAACGCAGAAGCTACAGAAGCTACGCGGACAATGGGCATTGTTTGGTAGCTGGAACATCTACTGCTGGGCACTTGCCTTAATCAGAACGTTTTTTTTTAATAGATCCATGCCACTTTGTCTGGATATAATTACAGTGCAAACGTGGTTTGCGTTATAACTATCACCGCAACAACGGAGTCCTGTTATTAAAATGAAAGTGAGGACAGGACGAGAAGTCCAGACGAAGGGCAGTAGTTACCGGGAGGGGCTCTGGGGGCTGCTGCAGAGCAGGAAGCCTTCTATTTGAAGAACGGGGTGGTACTTTCCATTCTGTCACAATTCATCGGCTTTGTTTATAGGCATATTTTTCTATATATTTGTCTGACTTTAATAAGTATGGCTTAAAAAAAAAAAAAAAGGAAAAACCAAACGGGATTTGGTTGAAGTAGGCGACGGAGGCAGTCACTCCCTTCATAGGAAACATCAGTTTAGCGTCCACGCTGTGAGCCGCAGTAAGCGAACACCTGGGCACGTTATAGAGAAGATAAGTGTGGGACCACCAGGCCTGGCTTCAAGGTGTTTACAGTCCGCAGTTAAAATATAAATGGAAGTGCTCAATTTTAAAAAAAAAAATAGGTAATTTTGAATTCATGAATTAAGTATAAATAATACTGGTTTTCATTATGCCACATCCCTATGTGCATAAATATGTTTTGATCGTATTCACCCCACAGCTCTCTCGTTTCCCTCCCACTGCTGCTTCCCCCTCTTCCCAGAGAGTCCTTTATTTTCACTTTTTCATTTTCTTTTCGTATTTCAGCTGCTTCTTCTCTTCCTCCTCCCTCCTTCTTTTCATCCTCTTGTTCTGGTGGCCCCAATGTATTTTAACATATCCTGGATTGACTGGATGGAGATCGTTTACAAAAGTGTGGTCCCAGACAGTGGCTATACCACTGAAGAAAAGGTCTTCTTCTCCCAGCAACCACGAACAACTGCCTGTAAGACACTCAGGGAAGGACGGGATCTCGTGAGGAAATACCTACCTCTCACGGCAGGGTCTGCATAGCCAGCTCCGCAGGAGTCTTCTGTCAGTAAATATAAATGTTTGGAGACCAAGAAAAGCCTCATCTCATCCCCAAAACAGCATCCCACCCCATTCCACCCTCCGGCTCTCTCATTCTTTCCTCCTCCTCTTCAATGATGTTTCCTGAGTGTCCAGCCTTTATACGAGCTGATCATTCTGAGTTTCGGCAAATACACCATCCTAAGATGTGAACGCTAGAGGAAGCCGGCTCAGGTGTGCGGGAGACCCAGCTCTGCAACCTTTCCAGCTTTTGTGCATTATCCCCATTTGAAATGGAAAACCCTACTTTTTTTTTTTTAATGTCATGAAAATGACGATGAGCTAGAGGTTATTTTTGTGTTAAGGGAATTGGAAGAGATTTTATAGATAAAACGAAATTTGGAAAGAGCCATAAAGGAAAAATGAAGTCATTAGAAAAGGAAACAGGAAGGCAGGTGCCAGGGAGGGGGTACACAACACAAGGAACCATGGCGTCTGTACAAGGACAGCAAAGAGTTCTGCAAAACTACCCAACTGAGGAATCAAGAAGGAATGTGGAGTAGAATGAAAAAGCAGAAGCAGCTCAGAGCAAACCAAGTTTTCTTTGCTTTTTTGGTTTGGTTGGTTTTGGGTTTTTTTGTTTGTTTGTTTGGTTTGGTTTGGTTTGGTTTTTTCTTTATTTTGTGGTGCTGGGATCAAATCTTGAACATTAGACTAGTCCTCATTATACCTCAGGTAAATGCTAAAAGTCTAAGAAGCATACACACAGTTAGTTCTGAGTTGTTGTTGAAGTCCATTGCTTTCCAGTGTGTGCCTCATTGGAAAACAAACAGAACCGAGCACAGTTAGATCCGCTCCTCCGCATGTACACCGCATGGGCCTGCAGAGGCGAAGAAAGGAAACCGAGTGGCTAAGAAACATCCCCGAGTGCCCAGCTCAGTGTCTGCTCTCTCCTCTAACCACCTCACAGCCTTGGGAGGCAGCTGCTCTTGTTTTATTTTACAGATAGGAAACGGAGAACTTGTTTGCATCCAACAGATACAAAAGTCATAAATATAAGAAGTAGATGCGGCCACCTGAGCTCTCGCTCGTTTCCAACAAACACAAAAGTCATAAATGCATAAGGAAGGGGGGTGCACTTAGTGCCAGAATGGGCTCCAGCCCTTAAAATGGAAGCAGCTTTGCACTTACAATTTATTTAAATCTATTTTAACTGGAAAGAAACTCATCTGGGACTAATTTAAGTTCTTCAAGACACAATGGCCTTGATAAAATCATTTATCAAGTGTGTTTTATGGAATAATTCAGAGAAGTATGTTTGGCAAGGAGGTAATTATCTCAGAATCCCAAAGTCCAGTAAGTCTGGCCTGCATGGAGCAGACACGGTAGGAAAGGCTCTCTCCCCATCTCAGGCAGTCGTCTTTTGTGAGGAGAGAGAAAGCTCAGCTATGCTACACGGCTTGTGCACAGACATCCCAGCTCCCGGCCGTGAATGTGTCTGCAGCCCCCTAAGAAATGAAAAGCATTGAGCATTACTGTCTTGGGGTTTTGAGATACACCATGACCTGCCTTCAGAAGAGTCAAATTGCTCTGTAATTGAAAGTCACATGGCTCGACAGTCAGTAATGTCATTTTTCTTTCCCCTAGTCACTACTTGGGGAAGACATAGCGAGATGTAATTTGAAGGTTTTATGTGGGATTTTTTTAGTGACTCCCTTAATCCGGCAGAAATGTAAAGTTCATTAACAATCACTGCCACTAGGAATTTTCCTTTTGTTGTTTTCTAAGATGTCCCTTCACCAAAATAAACCACAACACCGTTTCTGCCTCTAGTTTGTGGAAGAGGATGAATTCCCCGAAAGGCAGTTTAGTTGAGCTGCAGACACTCTGCGCCCCATATCCATAGCCTCGCAGCAGGTAGGCACTTGGGCAACAGGAAGCGAGCTGTTCTCCATCTTGCCGCTCAGCTTCACGGGTTTTGATGAAAACTGGAACAAATAGGGAGATCGCAGAGGTGCCAGAACGTTACACTTAGAAGATGGAATTGTTTGAGTCAATCTGGAATGTCTGGTTCTTTTGCTTTGGGCCTCATGGGTAGCATCAAGCTGCAAAAACAAGCGGAACTGGCGACGAGGGATCCAGAAGAGTAAAACACGGTCTTGTACCTTTGGAGAGAAACACGCATGTGTGTCTCCTGTTAGCAGGAAGAGGCCGGATTCTTCTACCTTTCCATGATTCAAAATGGAAATTGTTCAGCTCTGCTCCAAACCTGAGTGGAATTTGGAACTAGAGGTGGGTGGAGAATTCCTCTGTCCTTTGCTTTACACTGTACACTGGGTTTTATTTGAAATAAATGCCCTGCCATGAGTCAGTGTCCTCTAGAGACACAGACAGATGAGTCTGTGGAAGGTTCATCCTTACCACTTCCTGTTATGTGACTTGACAGTTATAAAGAAGAT